CAAACCCCACAAAACATCAAAAACAAAAACAAACCCCCCAACACCCGAAAAAAAAAAAGGAGGTGTCACAAAAAACATACGGTAAAATGTGTGCACCAGCCACTATGTAGGACAGACAGACAGAAGTGCATCCATGAACACCAACTAGCAGTTAGAAGACATGATGAATATTCCTTAATCTCACAACACATGGACAAATTTAACCATAGTTTCAATTGGGAAACTGGGAGCATCCTAGACCAAGCTAAATCCAAAAACATTAGGGAATTCCTGGAAGCTTGGCACTCAGACACATCAGCCATCAATAGAGACATAAACCACATTTACACACCATTCAAAAGAGATAATAAGAAAGCTAAGAAAGAAACAAAAAGACCAGAACGCATCCTCTCCAGCAGCCTACACCCAGATAAACAGAGATTAACACCAGACAAACAAGCAGAAAACAATATGCTAATCAAGGAACTATCAAGAAGACAATCAATCAGACAAACAGTCAGAAAACAATACCCTAGTCAAGGAACTACCCAGGAGAAAACCACACCCTCACCAACACTGGCAGGGCAAGCTACTGTATATAAACCATGGGCAAGCCCCACACTCACTAATACTGGTGATGTTACCTAGTCAGGTAATGAAACATCTGCAATTAAACAACCAAGCTCACAGAGCACCAAGGACTCCACATGATTGTATAAAGCAGCCACATCATTCAGGGTTACAGAGAAGCCTGAAAAAAGCCTGCTTTTATGAATAGCAGAGATGTGCTAGGTTCATGTGAATGCCAAAAGACTTCTTCCAAATTATTCTCAAAATACACAGAGCCCTAACTATCAGTATTGCCCAAACCACAATTTTGGTCAGGTTTTCATGAATGACAGATCTTATTCAGTTTCTGAGATATTGTCATTATATACCCCCTCTCCCCTTCTGATACTCAGCACAGGTTTGGGTGAATTGAAAACAAACCTTCTAATATTTGAACTAATCACGCAAGTAATAATCTCAATTTCATTTACAGAATTATACATAAGGAGATTTAACAACTCATCAGATTATATACTAAGAAAATTAAATCAATTAATAAAATAATTTATAATTACAGAAGAAGCAGTAGGGTTGTGCTGTACAGTGCTTCAGAAATATTTTGGAAAAGGTGCTTTGGAGCACAAACATTGCACCTGGTCTTACAGCACCTCTTTAAAGCAGCTGCCGTGCAGCTGCCATATGGTCCCAGAAAAAAACATGATTGGTTTTAACAGTTGCAAATAGGTGCTATGCTCGTGCATGCTCTGAACACTGTTTTGGAACTGAATCCAAAGCACTGCAGAGCTGTAACGAGAATGGTATTGTAAAATATTCGGCTGATTCTTCCATCTTCATGTGGAATGGTTCTATTTCAGCTATATAGTGACTGGTGTCCACCTTGAACTTCACTAAGAAAAGGACTGAGCCAAAACCGTAAGCACTGCAGCAAAATGCATGAGTAGTTAAAGCTTCTGGAACTGGGGTATATGATTAGCTCCATTATTCATGACTACAATAATAAGCACTATCAACATTTTGTAGATAAAGGTATATTTTGCCAAGATGAAATGTTCCAATAGAAATCCAGCAGAATGCAGTATATAAATAGAATGTTTCATAGTGTCTGTTTATTTTACAAGAAAAGACACTGAGACTGTTTCACTTTATCAGATACACAATATCAATTTCAATTATTTTTTTTAGTCTAGTATTTTTTGGCAAGTATAAAGAAAAACATTCATCTGGGTGACAAAGCCAAAAAGGTAATTTAAATTAAAGCCTACCTAGGATAGCAAGGAAATAATTCTTGATGTTATGTTCCTATAGTAGATGCGTAATCTCCAAAATACAGAATCTCTTATTTGTAACAAAAATAGGGCAAAATTTGAAAAAGCTGCCCCAGAACTAAAAGAACTCTGAACAATACTGCCATTCCCTATATATGATTTTCTCCAAGAATGGAGAATAATTATTTCTCCTTATGATACACCCACTTATTTCATTGGCATGATTCCCAGTTTTCTGTCTTTGTTTTAATTTTTTTCAATAAAAATATATTTAACAAAATCATACAGCTTGATTACCAAATCACATCACAGTTCTATTTAGTTTTAAAATAATGTTTTAAATCTAAAATGTTAAAATATCAAAGGTGCTTCTTGTTCAGCAGATCATAGCAGGAGGGTCTCAAAAGCCTGTGTGTATAAAAGTAATAAGAGTGAGTAAAACAGAGTGATTAAGTAGTCAGGGGCCAAAAACAAGCTCTCATT